TCACATATGTGGCTATCACTCCTAAGTAACCGTTAAGCGCGAATGCTTGACGAAATACCATTGACCAGAGTACATCAGATAGCTCTGAAGTTTGCACCTTTATTAGATACATTGACGACTTTAAGGTAAGCGATTACTTCGTTCTTCACAATCGAACGATGGTTACTGTCCATTATTGTTTGCGATAGATAGAAATTGGATGTATCACAATGAGAGGATAACATCAAATAAATTAAATTTATAGAATAACGCTGAGAATGCCAATGAATTAATGTCGAAAATCCAACTAAAACTACATTCAATCAAACAAAACTAACGCGCATGAGCGAGCGATAGAGCCCACAGACGCAAATACGACGCAGTGTGCGAGATGCATCCCAGTGCGAATTCAATTGTATGAATTGCTTGATAAACCATTGTATCACCCAGATCAAACTGAAATTGCTCGACACTAGCAATCAGATCACATCATTTAATTCTATCATAGATAAGAAAAATTTATAGAGCTTCCACGATCAATATTGGGCACACACGACCGGGCACTTCATTTGGAAACAACGCCGAGAGATATGAGACAAGAATGATGCATCAATTTTGAGAAAACTGAAAGATGTTGTATGGCCTACTCTCCATCGAAGTCTTTCAGTCCGTTCGAACTGACTGAAAGACTTCGATGGAGAGTAGGCCATAGAACACAAAATATGACGAATAACTTACAGGTCCTTCGCCATGCGCAGCTGCAGAAGCACGAGCTGCCCTCGTCGAATCTGTGTGCAAAACATGTGCATCTGCATCGTCTCCGTTCAAGTCGGCGTGAACACTCTACAAATTCAATCAACTTATTTTCTGCAAGAATTCTCCATATATTTCGTGAATTGTATGTAAATTCCAAGTTCAGAAATTCTACTGATCCGAAACTTGAGCTCTATATTATTTCCTTTGGAATAAAGTACTAATTTTGATAATAGGAATAAATTTCATTGCTCTGAATGATATTCACATTTTGATGAGAAAATTTCTAAACGAACAACTTTAAGCAAAATCGAATGTCCTTATGAGAATATCAGTAAATAAAGAAAAAGTGAACGAACGGTAATTAACCCAAAACGAAGTGTAAAATGCATAGGAAAAAAAA